CAGCTCTCACAACCAGGCCTAGTTCAGGACAACGAAGAAGATCCAGTGATCTGCGCTCGGCTCTACTTACCTCCCGCAGCCATCCTCCAGAGTTTGTCCAGCGCCTTCGCCCACAGGAGGTCTCCCTGGGCGAATCTGTTCGGCTATCTGCTGCCGTCATGGCAACGCCCCAGGCCAGCATCATTTGGGAGAAGGATGGTGTGCCGCTCGTCACGGATACGGCCGCGTCTCCCTATCGCACAAAGGTTAGTGGTTACGCTATCTCAACTCACCACTTCCACTGCTCTCTGTTGCAGAACGTTTTGTCTTCTAGCTTCGTGACAATGACAGTGATATTAGACAGGTGAATGGTCTCTATTGAGATGGCGTTGAAGTTTACGTTGACGGTAGCCTCCAAAGACGACTGGTTAGGGCTTACTGGTATGGCCCCTCCCTCTAAACCGGATAGGAGAACAAGAACCGCCCGCGCTACGGGCGTCTTTGCGCAAAAGTAGGGTTATGATACTTGTTAAAATAAAGCCTCACACACACTACGAGCCCTGTCCTGTATAATACCAGAAGGCAGACAAAGCCAGGAGGTGGTAAATGCATTCTTTCGCAGGGCATGTTACTGTTGATTTGCTTGTGACTCATCAAGTGGCTTCTGTGCGAAGGGGTGTCTTAAGTCTGACATGCTCGCATCAGCACAACAAATGGATTGGATGAATCACGAGTGTGTCGGAGATTTTCATTAGCTGAATCGGGAACGCAGCGTCACAAGCGTCGCCGTTCTGCACAGGTGGTTTAGCGACTACTTTTTGGACAAGAGGCGCCCGTGGGGGTGATCGGACGCTAGCAGCAACGCAGCGGTTGTCTGCTCTGCCGTCAACTGGTGACGAGGCGCCTGAAAATGGAGCGCCCCAGCGGATGCTACCGGACATGGGGAAAACTGGGGGGTCACTGTCTTTTACAGTGCATATATACGAAATAAGTGCATACCTCTCCAGTTCTCTCAAGTTGCCCCCCTGCCCTTGCTGTCTTGTAGAATCTTAATGGAAACCTGGAACTGCGCATTAACAACTGCTCAACGGCCGAACTCGGAAAGTACACTGTTGTCGCCTACAACAGTGCCGGTGAAACACGCTCTTCCTGTGTTCTTTCGGGGAAGACGGAGACAGTTTTCCGTGTCCCACGCATCGTAAAGCAGCTCAACGATCAGTACCTGACCTCTGGACAGCGCGCCGTCTTCGAAGTGGAGGCCTCGGGCAACCCAATGCCGGAGTTCAAGTGGTAAGCCTTTCCCCCCCCCCTCTCTCAGCCCTTCCCCCTACCGAGAACCCCTTTTTTGCCTGCCAAGTCCTCCCCCGAAGCTTCTCGTACACTAATTGTTCTGTATGTGTGTGTGGCATGCGTCTTACAGGGAAAAGGATGGATTTGAACTGCGACAGGACGTGAAGCCGACCGTTATCATGTCGACCACGGCTGAAGGTCGTGCCACACTAACCATTCCCGTGGTGGAGGCATCCCACGCCGGTCTCTACTCCTGTATAGCCCACAATCGTATCGGGCGAGACCGCACATCCAGTTTCGTCTACGTGGACGGTGGCAGTGGCAGTGGATCTCTGTCACGTAGGAAGGAAACCCGAACTAGCGCCACAGCTGCGGAACAGAGCCGTCCTCCACCACGTCCTGCCAGTGCCAAAGAATCTCTCGTTGCTGCATCAACCGGAGAAGGAGGAGCATTCGAGGTCATTACCGATCTACCGAAGATGGTTGAGGTGAACGAGGGCGAGGAACTGCGACTGGCTTGCATTGTCAAGACGGATCTTCACGTGATACGTAAGTTCTCTACTTCAAGCCCCCCGGACTGTATCAGTATCAGTTTATTGAGGGAAAGATAGGCGAACACCTTTGAACTCCCTGTTGGTAACAAGATGATAGAGAATAAATTGATACAAAGAAAACTTTAAAATTTGCGTCAATTATATGTTCCGGGAAGACACCAGAGTCAAATCTTAACAAAATATGACAGAAAAGATGTATGATTACACGCAAATCGCGATTGGTATAATTTAATGCAGTGTATGTGATTAGTGTATGTGATACAATAAGTGTGGGTCAGTATCATGTGCTGCAGTAGTTTTTACTGCGTCTATTTCTACTAGGTTTGGACTAAGAGGACGAGGATACTGCTGATAGAAGTAGTATGTTAATGCTAAGACCGCTAATACTAGTAGCCATACCTACTAAGTAGCAATAAAATAGACTGTGATGCAAGTCCGTTCGGGGATCTCCCCCCTTATAGAGCTTCCTTTATGCAACAAAGAGAGATCTTTACATTTGCTTAGGTATAAAAAACAATTGCGGTCAAACAGAACAAGTATTTAAAATAGCGATCTGAACGTTACTCAAAAAGTTGTTGTCTTTACCCTCCTCCGGAGTGCAAGCCATTATGCAGAAACGCCCTTTAAAGCAAATAAGAAAGGGCCTGAGGTCGTCAAATTCACAAACATTAGAAAAAATTGGGGAAAATGGGGAAACTGCCGGACTCAGTTGTGGTTAATTGAGCTGGACCAATCAGATCCGCGAGAAAAAATCTTGTTAACTGTCTTTATTTCAGACTGATTCTTCATCAATAGACGAGACGAATCTGCTGCCATTGGGGGTCCTTTTAGAACAATGACTCCTCCGCTCCCCCTCCTCGGATTTCAGAACGAGGGAACCGTTTTTTGTTATCACTTGAACTAGGCTTAGCAAAGACTCTATCACAGCGTTCTGTATATCCTGCACAAAAACTTGGATTTTCGGCGGAGACTGCGGACTGCAGCTCTCGATACACGAATGATCCAAGTTCGATTCCCAGCAGCAGATAAAATCATCCGTCACAGGTTTGCTTCTACTGGAACAGTCAGCCACTGGCCTGTTTGGTGTAAAAGAACGGTATCTGGTCACTTTATGTGAAGCCTGGTTCGAGGCCGTAGTGGTGACTTGCGCGGGGTATGATAGGAGGGCTTGCTCAGCATCGATCTTACTTTTCATTCCACCCTGTGTACAGTTTAAAGAACCAAAACATTTCTAGATGACGACATTCTTAGTGGTTTGGTAGCTGACGAGGCCTAATTCACGCCTAATCGTGCCATACGCATGCGGGCCTTCATGTGCGCTCGAATCAGAGCGCTATTAGGGACTCGTTATCATAAAGGCCACGTTACGTTTGGCAACCTTACAGGCCATGGCGTTTGAGAAGAAGGGTCTGCTGAAAGTGCGTT